TGGGGGGGGGGGGTGGGCCCGGCGCGACCCCCTCGCCCGCCCGGGGGAGCCGTGAGGACTGTGGCGGGTATAATCCTGCGGCTGCCAGGAAACCCACGGAGGCCACCGACTCGCTTTTCAAAGCGATCAGAAAGTCAAATGGCAATTAATTAGGGGGGGGGGAAAGACTCTTTGGTCTGAACTAAAAGCTGGAGGAGAAAAATTCCTTGTTTGTCAGCTCCGCTCCCCCAAAGCAGCTGGCTCTTCAGCAGCCTTTGCTCCTTCGACTCCTCAAGGTGACTTCTAACGTCTGTACTAAAACCTTGAACTTCGCCCCTCGCTAACTGGGGCGAGCCTGGCTGCCCACCCAGGCAGTCCCGCTCCAGGCAGCGCTGCTGGCTGCGGGTCCAGTGCCTCTAAGTCACAGCTCCAGCTAGATCTGGGCAGTGCGGAAGCCTCAGGGCCGTGAACCCCCATCCGAATACTCCCGGAATATTCCTCGGGGACACCTGGATCGCTGTCGCAGTCAGTAAACTTAAATTGACGTGTCTCATTTGCGCAGGGTAAAGGCGGTACGAAAACCTTGATGAACACGATCATGCAGCTGCGGAAGATCTGTAACCACCCCTACATGTTTCAGCATATAGAGGTAACGTGGGCTCGGGGCTGGCACGCGCGGGGATCGCACGCTCTCCGGAAACGTGGAAAACCGTTCCGTCCCCCTCCTAAACGGAGACAAACCGAACGGCTCGTGTGGCTGCGGCACGGACCGAGCGTTAACAACCTGGCTGCTTGGCCGGCCGAGCGTCAGCCCTCTGCGTGGCGCTGTGCCGACCGGGCTTCCTTCGACGCGCTCCTTTTTGCCACCCAAAACGGTCTGAAATCTGTTCAAGCGAGCTCGGTGGAGCAGTATCGCCTAAAAAGAGCGAGACGGGGTGTACCCCTTCAGGCTGATCTCTTTGGGCCCGAAACGCCCCGCGTCGGCAGCAGGGCCTTGCCGTCCGACACCAGGCAGACCTTTTAAAATCGCTCCGTTCCTGCGCCTGCTTCCCCAGGCACTTCGGGACCAGTCCTGCCTGCCCTCACCGGTCCTCCCTGCCCCGGCCCCGAGGGCCGGTTCTCTTCCAGGGCGGTTCCAGGACTTTGTTGGATTTGTTTGTGTGCGAGGACAGTTTCTGATGCCGTTCCTCTTTTCTGATTGCAGGAATCCTTTTCCGAGCACTTGGGGTTCACGGGAGGTATCGTGCAAGGGTAAGTAGGGTATTTCAGAGTGGGGATATTTGTGTCTTTTCCTTGTGAGGTGGTGTATCGGTGCGTGGTAAATGAACTGGCGATACTGTCGTGAGCACCGATAATCCTTATGCGAGGGAGACGCTGTGTTTTTAGCGTCGGATCCTTATTTCCCTCTTCTCTTCCCTCCCAGACTGGATTTGTACCGTGCCTCGGGCAAATTTGAGCTCCTCGACAGAATTCTCCCCAAACTGCGAGCCACCAACCACAAGGTGCTGCTCTTCTGCCAGATGACCTCCCTCATGACCATCATGGAAGACTATTTTGCTTATCGCGGATTCAAATACCTCAGGCTGGACGGTGAGTGCCTCTGACGCGCGGGGACGGCAGCCGCCCCTCTGTTACTCGCGGCTCGTGGTGAGGATAAACCCCTCGCGTGGGGCCGAGCAGCGAGGTAAGCTCCTGCGGGTTCACCGACCCGGCACCTCTCGCAAGGGAAATAGGTCCGAAACAAACAGCACCTCGTAAAGCAATTAACCCTGCTTGCAGGATGCAGATTACAGCGATAAACCTTGCAGCACGCAGGATAAAAGATATAAAGTGCAGATACATTATCGTCGGCTGCTGCTTCAGTTTTCAGTTTTAAATTCGGCCGACCTACCATTTAATTCTGCAACCCTGAAGGGTGCTGTCAAGGGCCAGGTGGCCTATAACATCATTGAAATAATGTAAATGTAAATGAATTAGTTGGATTCCAGGTTTAAGTCGGAAGGCGTGCAGCTTAGTTTGCGCCCAAATCTAATCTAGTAGAAAGGGAAAGTCAATTCACCGTGTTGGGTTGGAATAAACGACTGAATGCCTGTAAAGATGCCCGCGAAGCCGTGGGGCTGCTGAAGGCTGTGCGGGCCCGAACCCTCTTTGCCAGCAGAGAGCGGTGCGAACTCTTTCAAGAGTCGACCTCCCGAGAGAAGGCATTAAGCTGCCGGGAGGGTGAGGTGCAGAACGAGACCGAAGCAGTTCTTTAAACCCAGGTTTCTCCCTCGCAGTCGGTCTCTCGGAGCCGTTTGCTCCTTCGGTCGCAACGTTTAACGACTTCCAGCGCGGGGTGGGTGTTAGCGCGGCGGCGTGCTCGCGGCCGGCGCCTCACCCGGCCCTTTCCGCTCGGAGCCGGGCAGTAACTCGCCCCGCACGCCCCTTCCCCAGCACGAGCCGGGAGAGTCACGGCCCCGCGGCCAAGCCGGAGCCGAGGCATTTACACGCCACACCCGGCGTGAGCGTGAGCGTCTCTAACGGTTCCCTGTTGAAGCAGGGTGAGCTCACCTCACACCCGGAGCATCCCCAGCTCTCCCCGGGCTTGTGCGGAGCCCTTGCGTGGCTTACGGAGCTGCGTTTCCCTAAAGAGAGCGGAAGGAGGATGGTTTTGGGGAGGACGGGCTGGGAGAGACCCTCGCGTATCGCTGAGCTCGGTCTCCTGCTGCTGCCAACCTCGTGTAATGAGCCCGGCCCCAAACGTACCGAACGCCGCCTTAAAACCAGCCGCGTTCCCGGTACCGCTGTCCCGAGCTCGGGGAGATCTTCTGATCCGCTCGCGGACAGCCCAGACGCCAAATTGGGCCGGCAGCGCCCGCCTGCTTTAGCCGTTCCTCTCCCTTTTGCCCTTTCTCTCGAGCCTTTCTACCCAAAGCAGCCGC